GATCAGACGAATATTAAAATTTTTCCAGGGATGACGAATCTCCGAGAAGACAAAAAGTTAATCATAAAAAAAAAAGTTGGCTGTCCGAATGATAAGAATATAGTCTCTCGCCGATAATATTCCAGGTCCAATTCTATGCTGTCCTCTTCCACGTGATTTTAAAGTCACTAATTTGAAAAATCCTTAAGCATTTTCCAATGGATGAGCAAAAGGGGAGAATAATGTCCTGGTGGTGTTGGTAACGGTGAAGGTGTTTTTGTTGTTTTTGTTGTGCGTTGGCGGTGACTCGTGGTTTTAAGGGATGGTGTGAAGTTTTTTTTGTTGTTGTTGTTCTTGTTTTGTTGTCGTCGTTTCTCCTAGCCTATTATGATGTTTGGCACCATCGTTAATAACGCGAGCGCTATTAACGAGGCCCATTAGATGATATGAGAGGGTTGTTCTTGTCTCGTCATGACTGTTGGTTGTTGTTGGTGGTAGGTTGGAGATTTATTATCGTCGACATTATTGTCTAACCATGAAGGGGAGCAGCGTGGAGTAGAGGTGCAGCATAGGCAGCATGGTTGAGGACGGTCCTGGTGACAATGGGGGTTTGGAGGACAGCTGGGGCAACGGGTTGAGCTACAACATGAGCGGCAACGGGTGCAGCGGCGGCAACCACTTGGGGAGCGTGGATTGGGCCGGTTCCAGCACTGATGGCAATGCCAGTAAGACCTCCTGGAGCAGCAGCAGCGACAGCCAAAATGGCGGCGAGGACAGCCTAATTTACATAGTCAATTCACATGGACACACGTGAGTCACTGAACACGAACTTTTCTTCACTTATATATGTATATATGAGGATTGATAAAAATGTTGATTTATGATAAATGTTATAGTTTAGTAGCCGAGTGTTTAGTAAGTAACAAGGACGCGTGGGTTGTTACTGATTTACCAGTCCTGAATTTCGCGATTTTAAAGCCGGTTCCAAGTTACTCTACCTGTTTTATTTTTTCTGTTAAAATCGTGTACCTTCAATCGATTACGCAAGAACTTTCGCGTTTTTGTTACTTTTTGTTTTTTTTTCTTATTTATGGAATGTTAACGTTAATACAAATGCTGAGAGAATTTTTACAAAGTGCGTGAAGGTGTGTGTGTGTACACGCAGCGAGCTCGGCGGGCTCGTTTTATATTTGATCGCGTGCACGTATAATTCTCGAATAGTGAAAAATATATAATGGTAGTGTGAAAAAATAATCGCAATGCTGGGTAGGCTGCATTCCGTTTTTCTATGGAGTGGAAGTACACATAGCCGAGACTTAGACTCAGACTCAGACGAGCTTTGCAACGGTGTTGGCTAACACAATGTGCATGCTCCAGTGATTTCGCTCGTTTAGTAGTTGATTTTTGTGACCCGAGGACTCGAAGTCGGTTCGAGTGAACGTGTAAGGGCAACTCTTTGAAATTTGATTTATGTATGTGTAATCTAGATATGCGGGCGTAAAGGTCACGTCGCGATACAAATCGAAAAAAATAACCCAATGGAGAAAAAGATAGAGAGAGAAAAAGACTACTTTAGTTCAGATATTTTCAATGAACTTATTCGTTTTTTATCCTATCATCGATTAACAAGATGAACAAGAAATTTAGTTAGTGCAAGCTCGAAAAACAAAAAGGTATATTAGGATATATTTTCTTTGAAGATTAAATTCAGAAAAAAAAATCAATTTAAATTGAAAATTTCAATGGAAAAACGGAAAACTTGAGAAATTTGTTAAAAATGTTATTTTAGGCAAAGGATTATTAAATAGAATAGAAACTTTTGAACGTGTATGTTAAAACAAAAATTAGTTTTAAAATGAAACATTTGATATTACGATATGGATGGTTAAATAATTTTAATTTTAAATATTGATATTGTTAGAAAAGTATGTATTGAAGATTATATTATCTTTGTTGTGTTTCTTACCAGCTTGAACATGGTTGGTTGATTGAGTTGGTTGTTTGCTTCGTAAAGGAAACTGAGCTTATGCTCGGATAGTGCACGGTCTCCCTTTTATACGAATGTCGAATTTTAAAAATGGTAATAAATTTGCTCACGTGGCCCAGTTGGACAGCATGATGTTAGAATACGTTCGGTTGAGTCAGCCGATCGTAATAGAAGAGAAGGGGGTATCTCGACCAATTGGAAAACGAGTACGGTTAGATACGTTATTGTTGATTGCCAATCGAGACGCTTTCAACCCTTTGCGCCTATCGCGAGAATTGGGTTAAGTAAGTTTATGTGGTAATACACCGACGCGTGTACTTGTTCTTCCACCAATATACATAATACAATGTACAAACATCCATGTATAATACGCGTACTACATTTTTTTTTATTCTTTTAAAACTAGTTTCATTTTTTTTTTTCATTAATTTTTTACTCCAATACTTTATTATTTTTTTTTTTTTATGACGAAAGAAAATCGTTGACTAAAATGTTCATTAAATTTGGAAGATAACAATGGAACGTATTTTTTAAATCGTCGCGAAATTGTTCCCATTTCTAAAGTTTTTTATTTGTTTTTTTTTTTTTTTTTTTTAAAGTAACAAGAAATTATTAAAATTGGTTTTTTCTTTTCTTCAATGAAATCTCATATTTGCTTTTATACGATTTTTTTCCTCTTTTTTTTTTTTTTTTGACAATATAGGTTATCATTTTTTTCTCTACGATCGAACGATTCTTTTCAAGTTCATCTTCGTAAAAAATAAAATAAAATGATAACACTATAAGGAAAGACGACAACGACAACGACAACGTGACATGCTTCCCCTATTCCTTTAGAAAAATATTATTGCGAATTCTTACCATTTTCTTTTCGTTTTGTATTAAAAAAAGTATTAGAAAAATAACATGATTTGTTTTTTGTATTCATATATCTAAACGTGTTTTTTTATTTGTTCATTTATCATCAATTTTAATTATTATATTATAATATATTTTTATATATTAATATATTATATTTTATATTATTATTATATTACCATATATAATATTGTATTATGAAATATAATATTAATTATTAATATTATAATAATTATATATATATAATTATAATTATAATTCGTATTTGAAAGAAGAAGATTAAATAATAAATGTTTGTTATATAATTTTATCTAACGTAAGGAATTTTATTGTCCGTTCATGTAACAGTGACCATAATAAGTATTATATGATCTAATTAAGTGTAACAAATGTTCTAAGAATTGCATAAGAATTAGGAAGTGTCATACGATACTATGATAGAGATTATGGCACTATTCCTTCTTATGGTTTAACAAGAGTATCATGTGTCAACCTCTAAACCTATAAGTAAGAGAATTTTCTTTAACTTTTCGCGGTGGGTTTGGGTTCAACGACTAAATATGTTCGATCCAAAACGATTTTTATGTTTATTCTTCTTTTATCCTCTTCTTCTTTTTTTGTTTGTTTGTTTGTTTTTATTTTTTGCTTATCATTTCATAAGTGACCGATATCAAATAACTCGGATAATGTATCATCGTTTAAGAAGTTTTTATAAAATAGAAAAATATTCGTTTACGCTTAAAAATTATGTGAAGAATATCCTGAAAAAAAGGTTAAACTTTCACAGTGTCATTTGAGAGTTTCATCCTTTTTATTTTTTATTGTTTAGAAGAATTACGAAAATCTAACTCGTTCTAGTATATAAAATAATTAATTATAGTGGTAATGATAGTTACAAGATTGCAATTAATTTGTACGTTGCAATTGTGTCAAATGTCGGAGTTTGCGATAAATAATTATTCGTTTTACTTAGTTAAAGTATACAATTATCATAATCGTTATTAACACAATTCCCTGCAGATTGAATCGAATTATTTTCCATTCATAATAATTAAAAAAAGAAAAAAAAATAACAAAAAGGTCGTCAATAAATATCCGTCGATGTATAATTGAGTATACAACTCATACGTTTATTAATTGTTACGAGATCGCATTACCAATCGAATGATGAGGTAAAAGTATAGCAGGGGAAGGTGAGGAGACAGGGGATAGGGAGGGGTTAGAACATTGCTAATGTGTTGCAATTTATGGTATTTTTTTAATTTCGCAAGATATTCAATGGCACAATTATATGATTTTTAATGTCACATTAACATAAATGTAAGTGATCAAGATTTGCCATTTTTTTTGTCTTTTTTTTTTTTAATTGGAAACATAACAAAGTTAACTATATAATAAAAAAAGATTTATTTAATCGAATTTGAACAATTTCTGGCTGGGATATAAAAATAAACTCGACGAGATGAAATATTTTTTTTTTTTAAATGGGTTCCATTTGACTTTGAAAATAAAAAGAAAAAAAAAAAGAAAACAAATAAACCTAGGAAAAATATATAATCGATTAATTAGCATTGCACAATCCACCGTGATGAGATTTAAATAGAAAATGCTAATTTAGTTATAACACACATTTTCTACTATTTCTTGACTGACATATTAGGAACGTTCTAGATCATCGATCCAACGTTGATCTTTGTTTAACAAGTAGTGAGAGAGAGAGAGACAGAGAGATAAAAAGAGAGAGAGATATTATCAGGTGTCTTGGTGTAAAACACGCATTATATTTCCACCGACAGTGAGATATCAGATTGCATTAAAATGCATGATCTATGGGATACACCATCGTATAGAAGAAGAAAAAGAAGAAGCTTATTTCGTATTATTATTATTATTATTATTATTATTATTATTATTATGTTATAGTGCGTTTTATAGTACGTGTTTTAAAACATTTCTAATTTTTATAAGACGATTAGGATTATCGTTGGGTGGTGTGATGAGTGAAGAGGGGACTTCATTCGATGACAAGAAAGATTTTCCTCAATCCTATCTTGATGAAAACTTATCTTATCTTATCTCACGTAAACTCGAAAGTAAATATATACTATATTTAGTTATTTGGGGTGAAAGTAAACCCTCAAAAGTATATATATATATAATATTATAGTGTACGTACCTGTCTAAAGAAACTGCAACTAAACTGTAAACTGAAGCAGCTACCGATACACCCTGAATGTAAGCAACTGCTTTACACATGAACCATCCCAGGAACCATGCTGAAAAATAATTACAAAATTTATTGACGATATATTTATTTATATAAATAGAAAAATGCATTTTTTTTCTTGTTTTTTTTTTTCTATTCATTCTTTTCATTAAATTTTCGTAAAATTTGATGGATCATTTATAAGAAAAGATGAGACTGATGCATAATAAAAATGTTGAGATTTGAGAGTTCGATTGATAAACCTTGAAGGAACCTTTAACGAGATATACCAAGAGAGATTATGATCTTTGACCCTTGAGAGTGGTCGAAAACGTGCACTCGGGTGCGGCCTTCGAAAGTATTGTAAGAAGTGAAGGGTAACGTTTTACGACGACCGTCAATGTAGAAAGGTAAATCCAGCATTAAAAGAGTAACATGATTATTATTGCAATTCGAATACGTAATTTTAACGTTGTTGTTGACGTAAAATAAAATATAAAATGAAACATGCATGCATGCATGCATGCATGCGTGCGTGCATGATCGAGAAAGAAATGATTTCTTGATTTTAATTATACTTTTTCTCCTTTTTTTT